AAAAAAAATATTGAACCTATTTTAAAAATTCTTTTATCTAAGTAGATGTAAATTAAAAAAACCGTGCGAAGCTAAGACGGGTTGCAAATATAATACCAGTATATACCACTTCTCTAATTTACATAACAAAATTAAAAAGTAAATACTACAACAAAGCAATACGACACGTTCATGAATGTTAGTCTGGCTGAGAACCACTATCACAGTTCGTATTATTTTTCATAACTTATTCAGGCATAAAGTATTAGGTACAAAGCCGTTAGATTTAAGCTGGGGTTCAGATTACCGACGAAGACTTGCTTAATGCGAACCGACTGCAGTCATCCAATAGCCTGCAAAATAACACCGTTGCGAGGAAAGGTTATCGGGGATGAAATGCGACACCGGTGCCCGTGGATTAGAATTACTGGAGCTGACCAGTTACTATCTGTATTCATATTGTGTATTATGTTATAGGTTTTTTTGCGACAGAGTACGGATATAAGTATTAGTAATATATTCCAGCGTAGATTGTGATTTAAAAATGATGAATTTAAAGAAAATTAAAAAGAGGTTTTTTAAAAAACTCGCCGCGCCCGTATTTTCTTATGTGTATATTATTCCATATGGATGTCAGTTTTGGACGAATTTTGATAATTTATTATATAATCAATATTTACAGATTTGTATCTATAACAATCGCTCATTTTTTTGTAGACAATCTTAATAAATCCTAGATTTACAAATACTTAGCTTATTACTATTATATTAGAATAAATAGAAGCTTTCTTCTAAGGTAGGTATATACTATAATACTTATTTCAATTGACTAGAATAGTTAGACAATATACAATTCAAATCTTTACATTTGCATTTTATCCTATAATGTAATAAAGACAAATTACTTACTATAAATAAAAAAAATTACAGTCGTTTTATGTTCCTAATTTGATATGTCCGGCTCATTGAATATGCAACGTCTGAGATTCTTATTAAGATGGACACATAAAACACGTCTAGTAGTCGAAATGACCTTTGATTTAAATGAATAATTTGACAACACTGATTATCACAACTAAGTTTATATGCATTTTTTAATCTGGGACATAAAATGTTTCCTAGTATTTATTTTATTATTATTTTTAATCTGCGACTGCGTAGATGCGAGTATGTAATTAAAGATGGATGAGCTGAATATGCCTATCCTGGTATGTTCTCAATCAATTTTTATTCAGGCGGCTTTGATTAATTTAACAATGAAAAAATCTGTCAATCACTCAATTTGTGTGCTTATTATTTTCTTTCGGGGAGGCAACACATGAAACCCATGGCGTTGCAAGCGTCCATAGTCTAAGGTAATCACTTCCCATCAAATTGACAGTAGCTATGCCTGATTCCCGTTATTGTTGTACATAAAAATATTAATAAGGATAACTCATATGAGAATATGAAATTGTTGCAAATTGGTATTTCTGTGAGTCAATACTTGATAATTACAAGGTTATAAACTATACAGATAACAAATTGTAGATTATTCAAATGATTGTAAACAATTTTACTTACTATATAGGTTTGTGCGATCAGTGTATAACTTAATATTACTAATTTAAATTCTTAGGTATATGCGATATAATTTTTAATGACACTTTATAAAAGGTGTTCTGTAAATGTACGAGTATAACGCATTATTCAATAAAATCAACATTAAATACAATTTGTAGTAGCCTTGTACATTGGTTAACTAGTCAGATGTCATCTCATTTGAGATGCGGGCAACGGGAACTAGGTATGATATTTAATTCGGATAATATGGAAGAACAGAGATTTATTGTCAGCAGGGTTAGATCCTACACTATCAATATTCTACTAAAGGTCTCCGCTGGAGCAATATCATAACATTAATTTGGTTTTATGGAGTAGGACACATTAAATATTGAGGGATAAACTTTTATGAGGATGTAATGTGAAAGTATTGTAATAAAATGTCGACTTTACAAGTAATCTAGTGGCAATTTATGAGCCGTCGACTTACCTATCTATAATTAAACGCCCGCCAAGAGAAACGTAAGTCGTATTTGTAAAGTTAACTTTACATGTATATGAATACTGAAGTGCACTTGTCCAATACCATATTACTTTATTGTCGTAATTCGAGATTTTTTGAGAGGCCGTTATTGATAAAGCGGCCGATCAATTTAATATGTTTGTGGAGGTTCTTGAGTGACCTTCAGAAGCAAACACTCAATTCAATGGATTTTTTGTGCTAATTTAAAATAGATTTCAATAATTCTTTTCACAATTGATAAATTTTACGCCTGTGTTTTTTCCCATAAAAATTTTGTCAACACTTATTTTTCTTTAGAAATAATTTTCAATTATTATTAAGTCAGATGATGATGTCATCTCTTCCAAATTCTTTGTCTCAAGTGTTTTTAATTTGTATTAGTTAAGGTACTGCATTGTAGGAATTTATTAGTATACAGTTATTCAGACAGTGATTGAGATAACTCCTATTTCCACTAGATTGATTTCGCAAGCGCCTAATTAATTCTTGCAACATGAACTCGTTGCCTACTTACAAAGAAAACTGATAGCATTATCGGTTAACGAACTCTGTAACATTTGTGCAAACTTGGCGTGTTCTTCAATACGCTTTGTTTAATGTTTTACTCTTTAACGGTTTAAGCATAAAATTATAGTAATGTAAACTATATATGTACATTTCATTGAAAAGAGACTATCCATGCTTTACCGTTTAAAGAACATACACGTCTCTTTAATATATTTAAAGGGGAAAACCTATCACAACACGATAGTAAAAAAGACTTTTCCTCAATAATTTTCCAATTTTTCATAGGCAACTGATATTCAGATGAATTACAAGAGACCCACCGGGTTTGCGCAATGACTGGTCAATTCCAGTGGTAATATTAAAAAAAAAATACTTTTAAAGTTTCAGCCCTCCATACAGCATTTACCACCTGTCTAGCTTGTATGACTAATGATATGACAACACATTTGTTTTAAATGCTCACTCACATTTAACAAAAAATAAGCTTTTAGACAAAACAATATTTCATTTCTCCTTTTGTTCCTATAGTAAATACTAAAGAGGTTATAAATGGTGAACATTTGTTATGAGGAAAGTATGTTTTCTTAAAAGGTCGGGATGACACTGCGACAACACTTAACGCTTATCGTCCAGGTGAAAGGTTGTCAAATGAATCGCAGTGTTTACAAACCAACGACGTTCTCAGTTACTTGGTCTTGCGGTGTGTTTGTTTAAATGTTCCGTGAGCAGTTACGATCTCTTTGTATTCTCATCGTTAACAGTGCACTTAGATTTCGTGTCAATGTCAATTGTGTGCGTCTATTTACAAGCAGAGCACTGATAATGAGATTCAATCAAAAGTAGGTAGTTACGTCGATATACAATTTGTTGCGTAGGTAGGTTTAATCTCAAGAGCAGATCAGATATTCTAAATTCGTTTATCACTATTGTTGAATACCGAATGAATTTATTTTATCTCAAATAGAAACTGGTAAATAGTATAGTATACAATTCACTTTTTCGTTTTCAATGAATCTCACGTATCGAGTGGTCGGAATCGGCGAGCAACGAGCATAAGCATACGGCTTTAGATGAGTTTGAAATTATCTCGGGACGTTTTTATGGTCCGCATTGGAATCTGGGAGTTTTTTCCCATCGCGGGCCCGTTCGAACGCCCAAACAGGTTTTTAGATAGCGCTCAGTAATGCATCAAGTTGAAACGTTTTTGTATAGGCGGCATATTCAAGGAGGACGAGGTAATGAGGTTTCGAAACGGCCGTTTTATTCAATGAGCATTAATTTACTTGAAGCGGAGCTGCCTTGGTATGTGTTGTCTACGAGCACACACGGAATATCTGATAGATCTAATCTTGCAAGTATCCTCAATCATTGTTCTGATGATATAAGTCATGGTGCGGCGTCGCCTTTTTTGTCTGTGTATTATATACTATACATATAAATAAAAAAAATATAAATATAAAGAAGTGTCTATTACATAAACTACATTGCCAGTAGTCTTGTTCAAGTGTTTGCCGCGAATTTTACCTATGTAAAAACTGTGACCTTCGGTCATACTGTGTACTGTTTGTTCATGCACGCCTTTATAATTGCATTGTCTGGAGAAGTTTGGGATATATTGGGGTCAATAGAGCTAGGGGACGCGTGATTATAATAATATTAAAACTGGCGCCAAAATGTGTGAATGTTTCTAAAAATATTATTACTTTTATTATTATCGCAAAGATAAGCTAATGTGTAATGTACAAACTTAGGTTTGATTGAAGTAAAATTTGAGATTGTGTACTTTCAGTTGATAACAAGTCTGTTATTTAAAAATTGAAGTATCTGTCTAGACATTTTGGATATGGACCTATGTCTATATCCAGGTGCGTACCTATGCACCCACCTACTTATAGGAAGTCCATAGGTATTAAGCACATACCTGGCAAGTAATTTTCTTGAAGTTAATGATGTGTAGATTTGCAGACAAGATTTTTTATTAATTTTATTGCGCATCAAGATCATTAAGGATAATTTGCTAGTTGATTGTACCGAAGGTACTTAGATATCTGGGTACATATAGGAAAGAATTCGAGGAATCTTATTTGAAATAGATGCCCATAAATAACATACATACGTTAACCACGTAGGTAGGTAAGTATCTAGTCTTTTTTAAATGTATTAAAATGGAGTGATAACCCCGTCTGCCCTTTTGGACTACGCTGGCAGGACACCAGTGAGGGATGACAAATAAGTCAGCTGGCTCATGGTAACAAATTTAACAGGGATTTATTACGACGGTTTCTGGTGGGAGCCATGTGCAGGTATTGATGTGATGAGACATATTGGTAGTAATAGGGCCCCATTTTACTAACCATTCTTTCATCATGAGGTAGGAACCTAATTTTGAATGTCTGTAGTCAATTTCTCTCTGTGGTAGGTAATTATAATATCATCTAGTGTTACTTACGGACTGGAACTTTCTTCGGATCATAATTTTGCACTATTTCATGAATTTTTTCGATTTTCGTTTGCGCTACTTTCGATCTTTCTGTGATTCCCTGCAGCTGCGATGTCAACTCGCTGAATATATCCTCGGCCAAGAGCACGAGCGAGGCGAGTTGGCGTAACGCATTGCTGAGTGTGCAGTTCGTCACAGCTTGTAGCTCTTCATCGTTGACCCTCGGCTTCCCGTCTTCACCTCTAAGGCTCGTTCGCGACAAATACTTCGGTTCCACCACACGTTGAACGAAAGGCATTTCGATACGTCCCGAAGCACTTCGTATCACTTATTCACTCATCCCCGAGACGCGAATTAAACGTAATTTCGACATTCATTCAACACACCAACACAAAAAACGTCAGGTAACCGCCGCTTTGAATTAACCGACATCCTGACCGGTGAACTTTCACATGAAAGCGGTTTGTTTGGATAATTATGCAGTTTTTCATACAAATTTGTGGTATTGAAGAAGTTTTAGCTAATTGTATTCAAGTTAAAAAGTTTGAAAGAAACTTTTGGTACTGACGAAATCCCGCCATTACGACCACAGCCCTACATACGAAGAATACTAGCCACAGTCACCGGCCGAATGAATGAGTTTACTTACGCCGCTTACGAGCGTTAGTGTTGCCGTATTTTAAAATCATTACCACCCCAAATTTAAGATAGAAGAATTATAAAATTTAATTAAAAAGGACTATTAGTTTCGACTTAAAAATTAGGACTGTAATTATGACACTATGTGGATATAATCAGGCATTATTTATTCACTATGTTTTAAATTTGTAATAGAGATTAATGAATATATGTATTTGATTAGTAAAAAAAAAATACGTAAAAGTATTTTTTTCATCCTTTCAGTATTATTTTGTTAAAACAATTTTTTTTTGTAAAGTGAACAATGATTAAATATTTTATTTATTATTTTATATCTTATTTCATACTGTTTTAAAATATGGTAATGAATCAGAAAGGTATTTAATAAAGTTATTGCAGTTGTAGATGTTTAAACATAAATTTTATATTTTACTGTATTTATTGTAATATTGTTAGCAGCTGGAAATATTAAATTTAACGACGCAATTTTAGGGAACTGCGCCATCTAGTACTGTATTTCATAAATTAAATTTACTAGTGCTTTTTGTAGAAGTACGATTCCGAAATGATGTCTGTAGCAACGTGGTCACTGCTGAATTAAGTAGATGTATTGAGTATGTGTGATAATAGATGGAGACTAACAAGATTTGGTCTATTTTTTTTTGTATTTTAATTAATTTTTCCCGGGACTTCGTTCGTATGACCGGGCTATGTTCACTGATCGAGACAATAAGTAGGCAATGTTTTTTTTTATTTCATATAACATTGTACTAAATTTTATAACCATTGCTTAAGCTGAAAGGCACTCAAAGGTGATAAAGAAATAAACTCATTTTCAGATTTATAATATTAGTAAGAATATTTATTTTTTACATATAAAATGTATTTCAATTTCACTCAAATTAGAATAGAAGCTGAGTATACGTTATCCCCCATTCTAAATAGTACGTATGTTCTACGCCCTTGCGACTCAAAATAATCGTTAAAATCGGTTCATAAGTAACGATACCATATATATATATATATATATATATATATATATATATATATATACATATCCTGTTGCTATTCCGTCTAGTGAAGGTAAAAATGAAACAATTTTATAGCCCAAAAAATAATGTATTACATTTCATGTAACAAAGCGTTTAAACATCCGCGAGATCGCTTCAATAATACCTATTACATTACACATCTAATACAATGCCTTGCATTCATAAGTATATAATATTTATTGGCAACATACATTTCTAAAAATGTTTATTTTATTAATTATTTATATAACGTTACATATGTTAATATGAGATGTAGATTTATATTCTGTTATGAATGTAAAGAAACATACGTGAATTAGATATTTTGGTTCTTTCGATGACTGCATTAGTTTCTAGTTGGATGCTTATTTGGCCATGTGATGCGAATTAATTAATCGTACAAAAAAAAAAAAAAACAAAACTCGAAGAAATAAAATAGAAAAAAATATTATAAATTTTAATAATGTACACTGATATGTTACATATTTATTTATTTTCCTGTTATTTCTATCGTTTATTGTTTACTGCTAAACATCATATGTATATGACTAGAAAGATCGGTTCTGGGACATTTAAAGTCGTCGTTCCATCTAGCGGGTGGTGTCCTATATTAGATTTGTGTATTTTATTCTGAACTGCTTTTTCATTCTCACCTATCATCCCTCAATGGTGCGTCGACAGCGTATACCGTTAGCGCAGGCAGGGGTATCATTCCATTAAAATCTATTAATAAAAACCAGCTTGTGTTTGTATCGTTTGTTATGTTTCAGTATGAAAGGAGGAATATGGCAGTGAATGTTCGAAATTTGTTTTGGAGACATATCACCTTATTCTCTGGGAATGCAACACATTAGGCGCAGTACGATTATCACTTTATATAGGCACCTAAGTGACGGTTATCAAACATTGATTGTTATTCTTTTTTTATAATATTTGTAATAGTAAACATGTTGACGGCATCACAGGATACACTGTGATACTCATGGTATCTCTCATTCATTATTATTCCTAAGAACTATGGTAAACCTCCGTCCTTTGTGATTTCACTGCCTTATCTCTTCCTTCAAACTGGAGGACAGCCATGCAAGTACAGCTGCTTCACGATTGTAACACGAGTAACGGGGGTAGCCATACAAATGACTTTTGTATCAAATTATTTTTGGTTCGTATTGGTATTCTTATATTCTTATTATTACATATATGTATTTTAATAGAATTAAAGAAAAAAATGCAGTCGTCTCAAGAGCCATTTTCTTCACATGATTTTGTTGACAAAATAAATAATATTTGTAGAATTCCTAATGTACTTATACACTGATACAATAACCACATATATGTATATCTACTGTAAGCAACATTATTAAATTGCAAGTTGGTATACTAACGATATCAGATTTTTCTATGATAAAAATATTATAGATAATTATTACAATATGGACAGATAACCTTAAAAATATCACGTATTATTTGATATAATACCTAGTAGTAATAAAAGCAGACATTGAAACAATTTCCTTATAATGGACATTAGAAGTGGATTAGCATGCATCATAGATATTATAGTTTTTATGATATTTTAATAAAGTTACATTTTGTTATAGTACTTATTATAGTTATCAATAGTAACAAACAATCTAGAAATTATCATCAATGTTTAAGGATATGAACAAAAACATCAGAATCTTAACTATTTACATTTGAAATTTATAAAATCATAAATTATTATATCAATCTATAAATGGTCGTTTAAAATAAACAACGATCTATTACACCTGAGATATTATAAACGCATGAGAAACCGTTTGTCTATTTTTCTGTGTTTAATTCATAATTGTCTATTAATATAATATAGTTCTATTAATTCAACTATGGAAAAGTTTGAAGTTTAACTTTATTAATATATCAAGTAAGGTAGATTTTGATACTGAAATTGATTGATTTATATTGATTGAGCATTAAAATAGATAAATACAACGATTAGAACAAGCCACTTCTTTTTATACCCTACCATAAGAACAGTAATATTTATTCTTGAGACGCTACAAATATTAATTTACCACTTATTTACTAACCATATTACTCCAATGGCAGTATTCTGTATTATATGATAATCGTAAAACTATTATAACTATGGGTAATATAATAAAAATATTTTAAATACCACTGACACAGTTTAAAAGTTTAACATTTAATGATACTATACCTACTTAGTATCGTCTTCATTATACTGATTCTCAGATCAGATAATTTTTAAAAACCTTCTAATTTAAAATTTTGCGTGTGTATGTACACTTACACGCACGTATGTCGGCACGCACGTAAATGTATATAGCAAAATTTACAAATATAATACCAGTTTATATGATAAAAGTTATTAATTAAAAAAATAATTTATTTTCATATAAACTTTTGCTGTTTTTGTCTACGGCTTAGTAAATAAATGCTTTGTCTAGATGTTTTTACCTATGGACAACTACAACAAATTGATCTGTGATATCAAATTCAAATTTCGAATTCAAATCATATTTATTTAAATAGACTTGTTTACAAGCACATTTAAATCGTAATTTTTTTAAATATCGTTATTGGATATACCCATGTATGAATGGACCGTTTAATCAGGAATTAGTAATAATAATAATAATAGATAATAGTATAATGTTCTCAGTTTAAATCAGGAAGTAATCACTTGTATGTCAGATGCATTAACACATCCTATTTCTTTTGCATTAAGCTTTTAATGTCACGATGTATATTGAAGCATGAAAGATTAAATAAATGTAATATTCTAGCCGTGAACTTTTCACTGTTATTAGATCGTTCAGAATATATATCTGTCTTTATATAAATATGTCAGTAGTATTTTTATATTTTCTTATTCAGCTTGGATTTAAAAAAAAAATGGTGTACACACACTGTGATATATGAAAATAATACTCCTCCGAGTAATTTGTCACAGTAAAATTATCAACTAATACAATACTGTTTAGATAAATTAATAAATATATACGATTAATATACGACATGATAATAGAAATAATACTTATCAGTGCAGACGACTATACACTGCAAACAAATAAGCATATCTAATTAAATAATTGTAATAGGGTTCCGTTTTTTTATTTGGCTACGGAATCCTAAACAGGTAATTAGAATGATATTTATCTTATTTAGAACCAAATGTTAGGGGCTTCTTATACTATTAATAAATTAATTATTGGATTAATAATATTATTGAACCTGACGCAAATTAAATTCAATATCAATAAAAAATAACAAATTTGCTTACTAGTAAAGTAAGTAAAAGGATTGTCACAGGCATTTATTTATAGAACAAAATGCAATTATCTTTGTGGTTGTGGTGATTAAAACAATATGCGTACACTAATGTGAACAACTATATTTGAATCTAATGCAGCAGGGTGTCATGTATGTCAATAGTATAGCTTGAAGGGGGGAGAGGGAATTTTTGCAATGGAATTAAGTCAAATTTTGCTTGGTCTCTCCTGGAAACAATTACATTAAATTTGTGGCAAATTCATCACGATGGGCTAAATGATCTAACTTCATCCTTACCTATAACCCCTATCTGGTGCCGCGTCATCTATACCGATAGGCAGGCGGGTTTACCATTACATTATCGTTAAATAAAATCCGTAGCCTACGTCTATTACGTATTTAGGGGAGAAAGGTGTGCTAAATTTATGTTATATATATATAATTCTGATATTTAATAGTGTAACAAGCCCCTTTTGTGATTCTTCAAATAAAGAAATTCAACACTACAAACAATATTATAAGATTATTGTACTTTATCTATTCTAACAAATTGGCCTCACTATTTGCTTTCATATTTTACTATAAATACAATTCTTGCACAAAGCGTTACAATATTATGTTAATTTAATTTAGACATTAACATTAAATATATCTAGTTTATATCTATATACAAGATTTGGCTTGTGATTACACATTTCAACACATATTTTAATAAAGTCTATCTAAGAAATTTTTCAATTATAAATTATAAAATAAATAATTTATATTTATTTATAGACGAATCAATATATAAGTAAAGTAACTAAAAAAGTTTATTAACAAATATTTTGTATTTCTTACAAAAGAATATACGTCTTATATCAAAATTGGAATATTTTTATAGAAAGAGAATAATTAGGTCAGTATACAATATAATAATTTTAACTACATAAGTTATTTTCCAAATTTCTAATCGGAATGTTATTTATGATTCATTAACATTAAAAAAATATTTTGCTTTTAAGCAACAATATTTTGTCAATATGTTTTTTTATTAAATATCATATTGAACTCTAATCTCTTGTGTGAGATGATATTTTTATTAAAACATCATCTTTATGATGAATAGTCCGAAATTGGTTCCTTAATAAATTCATTCAAAACACTCTTCATAAATGCTTTCTTAAAAGTAATTTACGCTTTTATTATTTTTGAAATTTTAGTTTATAATATGTATATAATAAGTCTATATATATGTATAATGAAAAAGTTTAAAAAAGAAGAAGGAATAAAAAGAAGACTTCTGAATGAAGTCGAAACAATTTTCGGAAACGACAGACATGTCAGGTCATAAAATTTTCTGTTATAACCACCATTAATGTCAACTTGAGATATACGTTATTTATGGTGTTTTTTATAAAAAATATTTTCATTATTCAAAAAAGGAGGTTAAGTGTAACCTTCAGGTGGGCGTATATTTCTTTGCAACTTTAGTATTTAATAGTTAAAAAAATTATATTTTTATATTTTCAACAACTAGGGAGACATGTAGAGTGAATTTTGGTGCATTTGTTCGGACTGATAGTGAATAAATATTAATCTGTTTGTGTAACTTTATTTCGTCATGCAATTTTAAATTACGGTCTAAAATAATAGACGTTTACTAACAAGTAGGTATTATGATATGGTATTTCAGATATGAAAAAGAGTATATCGTAGATACAGGTTCGCTTTCATTCTTGTATAAATTTATCTATATTATTTATATACCATATTAATAACACATTGCAATGTACAAACGTTTAATTGTATATAGTACCATTACTTCTACTAAATGTAGATAAAATAAAAAAGTGAGATATATTTTTAATACCTATAACTTCACGCAGATCAGCGCCAAACTTACAAACAACCTTTCAATTAACCTTTTCCGTATAATATTCTAAATTAACAATTACTATTTCAATGTTGAACACATACAATGGCATTTTTATCCGTATGCACATACATTCAATTCTTTATATACTATATATGTCTATTAACAATTATATGGGTACACATACATTACACAGTATAGATAAAGCTGTTAGGATATTCTTTTCATACAGGCTGAAATCCAAGTCGTTAGCAGTACATAAAAATAAAAATCTACCTTCTATTGCATCGAATCTATGCTAAACCATAGATTCTAATTAGGGAAGATATTTCATTCAAAAATGACAAGAAATTTTGAGTTTTCAATATTAACTTATCGTACGTGCTGTATTAAGTACGGAGTGCTCAAAATTTTTGTCGTATTTCGCCTTTTTTTCTTTCTTTGGTGAAACATTTTATATTCCTATAAAAGGATGCTAATGATTTATATTTCATCCTGTATAGAGATGAAAGAAATTTCATATGTAATATTGATATGACAAGAGTAGGTATAAGAATGACTAGATGAAAAGTACGATTAAATAGATTGTCTAAAAGTGATTATGTTTTAGGGTTATACGTATATGACAACAGCAAACATTAAAAGCTTCGTATTAAACAAGATGGCACCTATTATCTGTTTTAGGTATTTAATTATGTATTTTGAACAACTGGAAGTCAATGATTAAAATAATATTCAAGCGATACAATTAATATGACTTTTTTTAGTAGATCAAGATCTTAAAAAAATGGAATTATTATATAGACTCAAGCATGTTAATGCTTGCATAGAGTTTATATTGTTTAAATATATTATAATTCCTTGACCTTTATACAAGATGTTCTGGAATCTTTTCTTATCTAGCCAGTCCTACCAATACCAAAACGAAAAAAATAATATGGAGTTAGAGTGTAAGTAACTAATACAGACATCGCTTAAGCAACCATTTTATGTAAACATTGTACATCTACCTTCCAAGTAAAGAAACATGGTGCCACCTTGTATAATTCTGTTATCGAAATAAAAAATACGTAGTAATCAGAAATCACATTTCACAGAAGGAACGTATGAAGAAATAAATGCGAAACTAAGACACTGCATGGTTAAGGACGAGTACTTAGTAAACACTAAACCCGAATCTAAACTTACACTAAACAAAGTCCAATGAACAAAGTAGCGCAAAATAAACGAGTACTCGTCACACTATTCGCCGCTAGCTGCCACCACAGCTTCCGTCTAACACACCATATGTGACCACAAGATATTCTCCTCTGTACTGACAGTAGATAAAGTTATTACTTCATATAAAGACGAAGCATATAAACGGCATCGTATAACTTAGTAGTGTTGATATATTTTCATTGTGGGGAAGATATATAGAGAAATAACAAGCATTGAAATTTTGGTTTTCGATCTCTCTTTTTGCTATGTGCACTTACTAGATAGATCTATCTTGTAGTTGTTTTCTTTGCATGATTTATTAAATTTAAACAGTTGTCGATTATTGGGTATATATTTATAATTTTTCATTAAATGTTTTCGTCATATAAAAATAACATGAATAAAAGTAATATGAAAATAAATTTAATTAAGATCTGATTTGAAAATAAAAATATTTGGAGCAATGTGTCTTGTAACAGTCATATTTATTATTTTAATTTCGAAGGATTGAATGGATATTTTTTTACAATTTTATTAGATGCCTTCCATAGATCTTCTACTGTCAGTAATTAGGTATCATTATTCAAGCGTTGCAATAAAAATTGTCGACGGAGACATATATTTCTCTTGCTCTTACTTCCATGATTGTCTCATCTCGCTAGCGACGACTCGACCTTTGGCGGTCGGTGAAGGAGTGCCTCATTTATTTGCGCACCCCGCGCTATGGGTCAACCTCATGGCAGACTTCCATGTAGTCAGGATCATGCATGATATCCTTGATCATGTCTTTCAGCATAGTGTATCGGGGAAACATCGGGTATATTTTCGAACTGACGTACTCCGACTGAAAAAAGGAAATAGTATTTATTCAGTTAAAGTTTAAGTAAAATATATTCAATATAACAATAATTCATATTTTAAATAGAAGCGTTGTTAATATCATTTTACAATCTTGAAATGTTGGAACTGATAAAAAAAAAACAATATTAATACCCTTTGCTGAAAATGCCAACCCCTTATGTACGACTCTTACAAACAAAGATGACATTTTCAAAGTAATTTGTTTAAAGATCATTCCATTAGGAATATTTATTTTTAATGCCATTTATGTCACGCTCAGTTGTTGAACGTATTGATTGAAATATATTATGAATAGATTAAGTTCTTGTTGAAATTATAAAGGATTTATTTATGCAACTTAAAATGGCAATGAAGTTGACGGCCCACCTGATGGAAAGCGGTAACTGTCGCCTATAGACATGAACAGTACCATAGATATAACAGAGTATACTGTTTCACCCAAGCATGGGGGGTATCCCCATTCGTTGCCATTTCTGAGGACTCAGGTGTTATTCCTCTGTACCCTGTAATTTCACTGCCCTTCAAACAAAACACAACCATCAAACACAACTTCTTCATCGTTGAATCACAAATGGGATAGAGATACCCAAGCAAACGACTTTATATTTGGATTGACAGCAGCGTCCCTTTTATAACATCACTAAAACCACACCGCGGTTTCCAACCCGTTTGCCAAGCGTCGCAACTGCTGGCAATATCCCCCAATGGCAAAGCTAGTCTCTAAGGGAAGCTTATATTCAGCAGTTTACAGTTTACGACTGATATGATGATATTTATATTTGCAATTTCAATAGGATCGTAGGATGGCTTCACATAAGGAAACTGAAATATTTTTGATATTAACGGAAAATATTGTGTATATCATCACCGTCAGAGTGCATATACATGTAGGTATATTAAATCATATACGTCACAGACGTTAGTTAATACTGAACAGGAAATTTTGTATTTTCCATGATTATAAAAATCACTTTAATAGAACTAAATGTACTAAATATTAATTTTCGTTGAATTGTTAATGTTGTTATTGTTAGGATGTCAATATAATATGTTTACGTACTTTTTAAAAAATTAAATAATGATAGTGTTGTGTACCTTAAGCTCCCTGATGAGGTTCCTTAGCCCAGTATATTTCTTCAGCAGGCGATACAAATCATTTGTCATTTGTGTGTTCTCGGCTTCTATTTGAGACGTTGTCATGTCTGAAAATATAAGAAATTACAAAATTATCCGTGTCATTATAAAGGAAGAACACACTTCTTTCACTCATTTTATTCTTACCTAATCGTAATAGTCAATTTCAGACTAGGGAAGCAAAGAACAAAAAAAAAACTGCCAAGCTATTTGGTTTAGTGTACTCGCAATACTAGTTAAGAACCTTCTTTTATGGGAGAGTTCTATCTTATGTTTGTGATGTATGTTATTTGAAATTATCGACTAGGCTGGCAAGAGATCTGAAGTAAGAATAAATTATTTGTGGTCTTTTCATAATATTTATAAACTAGTACGAGATCATGTTGGCAAATTAAAACATACGCAATAGTAACACCTGAAATGCTATAAATTATCTTTAGAGTAATTACCACAAATGTTCGTAATATTATACCTGTTTATACTAATTATTTAAATCAATTCATGTGCCTTAAATGCATACATTATTTATTTCTGAACATTGTAATTTACCAATAAAATAATTATAATAAAAACAAACAGTAAAAATCCAAGATAGGTATTTCATATTAATATTGAGGTAGAGACGTGGTTATCGTATGAGGCAACTAAGAGCACTTAATTGTCGAGGGATGGGCAGCTGCATTCCTTTTAAAATATCATCAAAGGCTTAGTGGGTTTTCCCAGTAGTTGCCATACTTGATAAGAGAGTTGGCTAGCAGTTGCCAACTCGCTTATCAAGTATGGCTACTTAGCATTTGGTGATGTTTTAAGAAAGGCACTATTGCCTATCTTTTGACTGCTAAGTTTAATTATATCGCTTTATGACACCTACGGCCAAGGAAAGGGGTGGTCCATTCTATCACACAGCAATAGCATATTATATACAATGTCAATTTAGTACTAATATTAAATAATATTGGATATGTTAAAGTGAGTGTTTGTTGCCTCCTAACATCAGCTTCCTTATCTCTTAAAGCTCAATCAATAGTGTAAGTGTACTATAATTTCATGACAATTGGTAAGTTAATAACCAAACTAGATAAAGTGGGGGGGGGGGGGAAAGTGATTGTTAGTAATGGAGACTGAGAACCCATTACTAGTAATATACCCAACCAGGTCGACCTTCTCGCGATTCTCCCTGGAAACTATCATGGTTAATTCCTGATGAATTCATCATGATGGGATAACTGACCTGTTTTCATTCTTATCTATCACCTTTCACTGGTGCTTCGCCAGCGTATCCCGTTAGCGCAGGTGGGGTTACTATACCATTTTCACCAATAAAAAAAAACTTGATAGAGTTAGGATTAAGATGAACATAGGTTACTTTTTATGTTGGTCGATCAATCTATCCTGGTTATGTGGAAAAAGTCGTGGTTAAGAACTAACATACCTATATTTAATATAAACTGCATTTGAACAAACCCTATAGATCTTTTTTCTCGTTATCAATCCAATCCTCAGGCGGTACGGTTTGTGTTTCAATTTGTTTTGCTCGTGCTTAATTCCTACTTAGAAGCGAGCTTGTGGTCCACCGCGACATTTAATTTAGATTCAAGAACACACTCCAATTAATTTTGTAAGCGTTTACCGTGAATAATATCGAAAAAGGTTTATTGATGGCACGATTTTTTTGTTTTTATTTTTAACCATTCTAATTATACCTACTTATTACGCAAAATGTCGTTTTTTATTTTCAAACCGTGTCTCTGATTTTTTCCGCAGGCAGTAGGATCAGGATATATTAACGGGAATAAGTATTCCGTATCCTTCTGCATGCTAAATATTATGTTTGTGTGTGTATGTGGGTATGTGTGTGCGAGCGCGCGTATGTGTGTGTGTGTGTGTGACAAACAAATTCACTTTCAAATTTATAATATTACAGTAAATATAATATTATTGAATTGCCGTGTGCTCCCGGCAAAGAATGAACCATTCTTAAGGCCCATGTTCAGCAGTGGACAGTTAGCGGCTGATATAATAACATTAATAATGGATACACAAAAGGGACTCTTTAGGTATTTGTAAAACAATATTTTATATCATTTACTTAGAAATCGAGTGCAAGAATTATTCAGTCATAGTGACAATAAAAAAATACATTACCATTCAGTCTTTCTATCCGTTCCCTTCTGTCTGCTGCTTCTTCAGCTAGCTTCGAAGATGTCTTCACACCTTCTCCAGATTTCTGTGTCTTCTCCATGATGGCGCATGCTCGGAGCACGAACGCTGGTACTGTTTCCGCTTTTTCCTGCCTCGGGATCTCGACTAAGGACCAGTACTGCGTTTCTAGGCGAATCACATCCTGGAATGTTATAAACGAAAATGTTTGATATTCATATAGATAATACTGATAAAATATCAGAATTAAAATTTGTAATTATTTTACAAAGCATATTGCATTTAAATTGTTAATAATTAAGATTTTGTTCCACAATAAAAAAAAGACTTCAATTGTGGCAAAATCAGTTATTTTAATTTAAAAAGTAAATTACTAAACTGATTTTGTAACAAATCAAGAACAAATCTGTAAGTATATCCTTTTAGATAAATAAAACAAATCGGTTTAAAACTAATGGAGTTGTAAGGTAACAAACAGTAAAAAAATACAACCCAATTGTGAACATCCTTCTTTTTGAACTCATACTTTTATTTTATTAGCAAAAGCCTGAAATAAGTTAAGCTTTGTATGCTAAGCTATGTATGTTAATTAAGTTAATTAATTTGTTTTCCCATATGAATTAGGATACAAATTTCTATAATAACTTATAGAATTTTCTTATTATAGATTAGATCCATCTGTTTAAAACCAAATTCCAAAGTAGTTCAGTCGTAATAAACATGTTCACAAAGTTTCATATATATAATATTAATACCCTAATATGTAAAACTCACAAACACTTTGGTGGTTAGAATGATTTATTGAAAGGATTGCAATAAAGTTTGTTTATAACCCGTTAAAGTTTCTTTGCTATGATTTTAAAGCCTAGGAGAGTCGTCCATTTTTATCACAAACGAGCCAGTAACAGGTAAAGTTTAAAGCCAGCTTTGCTCAAACTGGGGACACTTGTAACAAGGCTTGTTGCTATTATGATCGAACTCAGTTGCAAACTGTTCCTTTGTCCCGTACGCCGCCTATTTGTCGACGCTTTATGTCATCAACAAGTTTGAAAAGCAAGCAAGCTGGAAAACCGTATTTTGCGTATCACTAAAAGGAACACATTCTTTATATTTTTTTATACTAATAAAAGACTATTTCAATGGAGAAGTTCACTTTTTAATTAATAGTGCTTTTGTGATATTGCCATATCTATATAACAAACTTACTAGCGGTGGCACAGAATGGGCCAACCCTTCATCAAGCTCATATATATGTAGATATATACATATATACTTCGTTAAGTATCTAGCATCTCTACTTGTGATGGCCAACCTGCCTGCCAAGCATGCCAACTACTGGCAAACCCTTCAAGGGGGAGGCCTAAGTTCAGCAGTGGATGGTTAAGGGCTGATATAATATGAATAAAACTTGTAAAAATTTAAGACTCTATTCTATAAAAAAAACCAACTTCAATCGTGGCAAAAAGAATATTTTTTATTTAAAAATTCAGTTACATTTAAAAATTAAAATATACAACAGATTTTGAAATTGGTTTGTAATTGACGGAGATATGAGGTGACAAACAAAAAAAATATCACCGAATTGAGACCCGCCTCATTTTTTTAAGTAGTTTTAAAATGCGATTTACTTTCGCAAATTTTTACGAGACTGATGTCTACATAATTTTTATAGGCGTCAGTTATATTATTCTCGAATAAATTTATATTTAAAGATGTTACATTTAATAAAATTCAAAGAGCTGTTTAAATTACATATTGGGTATATTAAATTACATATTTATGCAGAACATTACTTTCTTTAGTTTGGTTAGTTTTAGTAGTTCTGTTATGTCCATGGTACTGTTCATGTCTATAGTTGACCGTTACCACTTACCAACAGGTGGGCCGTCTGCTTGTTTGTTATTCTAAGGCGCATAAAAAAAAAGATATAGATAGGATTATTACGGTACATGTATGGCAACTAATAGGACAATAAATTGGTCTTTAATCGTGATAATAAATATAAGACCAATATAAGAGTGAACTTTTATGGTTTAAAAAAAGTTATCAAATTTTTTTTGCCTATTCTTTTCGTAGACAAACCATATATAGGAGCATAAAAAAGTTTTAATTATTAAATGCTTTTGATTAAATTTATATTAAGAAAAGTTACTCGTACTTCTACTCTAATCCTTACTAATAAATGAAGATGTGATCTAAAATAACTCTGTTTGTTACCTTATAGCGCCTTAACGGTTTAAGGTATCAGTATGAAATTTAGTATACACATGGTACATAGAAGAATAAAGGATTTTTTTCCTGGTCAGTGAACTATATGTTCACTGACCACGCCGGTCACGCGTAAAAGATTTATAATTGTCGAATATATGTATATATATACGAAAAACTATCGATGTGCTTACATTCTCTTTTTAAAATTAGATATTACAATTTTCATCGGTTAAAAAAAGCAAAAAATGAACGACTTAACTTTTTAAATTCATGTCAATATTATACAGTCAGTTCAACTAAACCTAGACTATCACAGTATGGTTCGTATTCAAGACTTAAAGTGGATAAGTTTTCCTGGACCACAGCCAGTTCCGACAGATAAAGACCATTTTCCCAGTCGCGAATGCTTGTCTTAATAAAATAACAGTAAGATTCCTCAGTTAAGCAAATGGCTTTAGTAGTTGCCTTATACGCTTTTTTTTAATTTTAAGATGGCAAGACTTATAAATATTTTTTTAATATTTACCGTTCGTCGTGAAAGAAAATGGCTTTAGTTAGTACTTAATTTAAACGCTTCTTTAACTTTAAAAAGGAAATGCTTATCGTCGTAGTAATTGTAAATAAAATTCCTTTGTTAACAAACTACTTTAGTATAAACAAACGAACAAATTACTTTAGTATATATTTACTCGTATTTACATTATGTGCTGTTTCCCTAGAAACGATAAGTTCGTAGGTACATATCTTTTAAGACTGGCCATTGTATTTGTAGTGCGATCTCGTTTTTTCCCCATTCTAATTTGTAGGTGTTTCGGAAAATACTTTCGTGCTAATTACCTATAAATACCTAGATACTTCTTGTGTAGAGTGTACTATATCTAGACCCACCGGTTTAATAAATATAATTACAAAAAAATTATAAAGTCATTGTTCAGCTTATTTTTTAGCGAATTTTGCCTTAAAAAGAACGAAATAGTAAATAAATTTATTGGTATAGATCTTTAACGTTGATTTTTTTTCTGCTTTAATTGAAGATACATTCGAGCAATAATGATATTCAGAAATGTAATGTTACATTTCTGAATATCATATGACTTCCTTTTACCATGTGGTAAAAGGAAGTCTTCCGCCAATCTTCAAGAGGTTACGCAAACAAAACAAACAACTGGCAAGCGCTTGTGTCTTTGTCTACTTTATTCTTTATTGTTAGCTAGAAAGAAGGTTTCAAGAGTATTTTTATTGTAATGGAATGAATAGAATTAAGCCACTATCTTCCATTATAACAAAATTAAGGATTATTGAAATTCTTATGACAGTTGTTTAGTAATATTTCTTGCTCCGCAACAAAGAGTAACTTCTGACATGACGAATATGTAGATATCAATAAAGGGCAAGCTTTCTCGTAGATAACCTAGATTGAGAATATTTTAATTCAAAAAATAAATGCGTTATGTGTTTATTAGCAGATGTTTGTTCTGCAAGGAAAAACGACAAATTTAATATTAAACGGACGGATGAAATAAAAGTAAAGTTAAATATATATGCAAATAAATTTAATTACTGTCTCTTTTGCAGCTAAGGTAAAATTTCGTCATAAAAGTTTAAAATAAAATTGTCAAAAGGTAAACTCAATGATATTGTAACATTTTAATTTTTTTTATTATTTATTAATATGTGTTATCAAAAAATATAGCCACAAAAAAAATACAGATAAACAAAAACTTGTTCCTTATTTTGGAATTCGCTTTGAAAGGAATTACTTTTTATGCATCTGATCTAATGAGAGAAATGTACAAGAAACAAAGTGGCTACCGTTGAATAAATTGCATATTTATGAGCTTTTCCCTAGGGGTATGTTAATCTTGATTAAAAGATTGTCGTTCAGGTGACTTAACTTGGCTATTTAAGTCATTTAAAATTTGTCTCTTTGTCGACGTACTGATAGATAATGATTTAAGATTGTGTTCCACAAAAAGCAAACCAAATTCAATTGAGGAAAAACTACTTATTTTGATTTAAAAATTAAACTACTGAAATGATTTTGTTAAACTTTCTACCCAATGTATTACGAACGACCAATTTTAAATATGAACATCTTTTCAGACAAAAAAAAATTCCAATCTTCAAAATAAAAAAATATACACAACTGTATTAAGAACTTCCTTCTTTTTGAAGTCGATTAATTAATCCCGATAAGTGCAGTGCCCAGAATGACTTAGATTTGGTCATATTATTCCTTTTGCAACAAGGGTGGGTCGACATTATCTGAAAATATACCTTTCAAATCAATAGTATAGTATTGGTTGTTGAGAAATAAAGACGAAATTGTATGGACTTCTTTTAACATTTCGGTACGGAACCCTATACAGAGGATCTAAAGTAAAAAATACTTCTTTTATGGGGAGAAACCCCATGGCCGAAAGTGGAACTTTAATGGATTGGTAAGGCATATTAGATTTCAAAAAGAAGGCGGTTATCAATTACTTTAACTTTTTTTTAGACTGATTCTTAATCTACATTCAAAATTATTTTTGTAATTAATAGGGCTTATTCTCGTATTGATCTTATATTAATTTTAAGACAATTGAAGCATTTGAAACTATAATTTTTCACGGAGAAAAGCTATTGTTTATTGCTAAATAAAGTATACTCGTAGACTCGAGAATTCCGAGTTCTTAACAAACCAATATGTAATATAACCAATATGTAATATATTACCTCTGTACTTTAATAAGGTAGAAACTGAACATTTATATTTGTTTTAAATCACACCAAAACATAAAAACATATCAATAACATCTTTCTTTACCGGTAATTTAACGATAGCAATATTTTAAAACCGTCAAATATTTCAATACGGAGAAGGGATTCTTAGTAGTGTTAATGGAGATTAGTAACCCCATTACTAGCAGTTTACCCTATTAGACCGATTTTCACGCAGTTTCTCTTAAAATCACTGTAGTAGCTAAATAT